CTACACGGCAAAGGGTTGACATGCATTTAGCCATCTCTTTCAATGGGCAAGAACTCCGAAGACTGTGTGCACAATGATATTCCATCTACCAAATTCATTACTATTCCATCTAAATATTGTTATATTTTTATCTGTGAGTAACAGGTCTCTTTTTTTGAAGATTTGATGGATGGGGATCCCTAATCTGATTCGTTGGATTCCAAAGATGTGGGAAGGACAAAAAATACTTGTTCATTTATTTTTTTTTATGTTTCTTCTATAAGCATAATAATATGAAATTTGTTATTTAAGAGAGGAAAAATATTCTGACATTGCTTGAAATTACTTAAATTTAAATAACATTAAATAAAATTTGCTGTATAAATAATTTTTGTGCCAAGGCTGTCCTTGATTTTGATATTAAAGTCATTGTCATTTCTTAATTCTTATTTTCTGTATTACTGACTTGGATGGTTAGGTCAAGATACTATTCTGTCATTTTGGAGATCAGCTGTAAATCATATTTAAGATTGCTTGTAATTTTGATAAGAGTTAAGCTTTATTCCCAATTGGCCTGATTTGCATGAATGATTTACCCTTAATGGATAATTTCATTGTCCATTAAGGTACTGTAGTCTTTCATTAACAAATAGAATAGAATTTTATGTAGTTCCATTTTCAGCAGTGATGTTTTAATTTCATTGAATTGTCCATAATGATGAATGCAGACAAATAAATTAACATTGTACAATCCTACATTAATATATTGCTACATTACATTATTAATTTACATTTTTCATTGTGATTGTGATTATTTGTTCTATTTTCCTTTCATAATTTAACATATTCAATTTATATTTTAATATATAATGAGCAATTATTTATTGTGACATCATCAAATTGCCAGACTGCAATTTTTAATCACATTATTTTAATTTAATTTAAAATATATGCTCTCCACTTCAAATTAGTAGTGTTTTATCTCTGTACATCATACCTTTCCTGTTAGCAATACAGTCAGGCCAGTCAACTATCTAACTCTTTTTGGAGGGAAATTTTTTAATTGAAATAATGTGACTTCCAGTTTGCATTGGAAGTTTGTATACAGTTAATCCGGGCCTCCTGCCCCTAATCTTTCTGTATCTGGTCTTGGCTTTCATCTATCTAACTCTGTTCTCAAGATTAAGGAAGACAGACAGACAGACAGGCAGATGGACGACAGTGGGAATTTATAGGTTTGCAATTTTTTCAAATTGCAGTCCAATTAATACTACTTGCAATCAAATTTTATACAAAGATAATTAATTAATTTTTATTTTATTTTCATTTTTGCAAGTATTTATATACACTGGTGTGAAAAACTTAAGCAACAATGTAATTTTTAAGCAGATAGTCATGAAATTGTAGAAAAGGGCTTGTTGCAATCAGTACAATGAACACCCAATTCAGTAAAAATGTGATTCATATTCAGGAAGAAGACATCACAGGTGATGTGAGAGCATGCAAAATGTATGCAGTGCAAGACTACAATAAGGAGGAGGCTTTGATTCCATACCGTATGCATTCTATTCATTTTTGTGCTAGTATGCTTTCTTCATTTTTTAAGTACAAAATACTGTCTCTGTATTCTGAATTTCATGTCTCCCAGGTGATTTTTTGTGAAGTTACAGCAAAAAAAAATTGTTGCTTAAGTTTTGCACATCAGTGTATATATAACAATTCAAAGTTTAATTTATGAGAATATTAAACATTATTCTCTACTATTCCTGATTCAGGCGGCGGTAAGGGCGAAAAGGAAAGATTGGGACATGTTCAATACGCATTGGAAAGTTTTAGAAGAGGAAATTTTTAATAAATCCTCATTATGCAATCATTATAGGTAAGTCAATTAAGAATTATTATAAATGGGTATAATATAATTTGCATGTAAAAACAAACCTTTCTTGTTTTTTTAAGAACCTTGTCTTCGTTAACATTTTTAATCTCTTAAAATTTTAGTGCATTGTGATTGTTTACATTTTCAAGGAGTCATAATATTCCTCACTATAAACTAAGATAATTCTAGACAAGCAGTTAAATTTATAGTTTATCACTCATGTTTATCACTGGATTCATGCTCATGCTATAAATCCAGAATAATGAATTGAAAATCTTTTGATCATTTATTTAATTATTGAAATCTTGCTTTGAGCTGATCTCTTCTCTGTACAATTAGCATGTGTGTTACTGATAATTCTACAGACAGATTTTTTACTATTGTAATGACAACAATCTCCAACAAAAAAAATAATGACTTAATTCAACATTTAAAAAAGTACATCATATTTTTTTTAACACATATTATTAACTATACTGCATAATGTAATTTTCAGAACTGCATTTTAGTAGATTGATACAGAATATTATAATGAAATATTTCTATTTTCTGTGAATAATTTCTTAGTAGTAATGGCTCTTGATTTTATAAAAATGTCATAGTACATAGAATAGAAATATAGAAATGTAATATTATATATATATTTTTTCAATAATTTTACTACACATATATTAATACTGATGAACAACAATTACGCATTACTAGACATGTCCAAAAATTAACTTCTGATTGGCTAGAAAGGGACAAAAATTTACTTCTTAGAACTTAAATTTATTATCATAGGAAAATATGTGGTTATAGATGTTTTTGGACAAGTTTGCCTTTGAATTTGAATATTTGTCATAGTATGGATAAGCTTTTGCAAATTCTTGTCAAACCAGGCTCTTGCCAACTTATGGACTGCAGCTTGCACATTTGCCTACAGTTTTTTGTCACTGTTAAATTGATGATGATGTGAAAACTTCAAATGTAAAACCGGGTGGAAGTCAGAAGGTGTTAGATCAGGACTACACAATGAGTGTTCAAAGATTTCCCATTTCAGTTTTTTTACAATTACCATGTGATGTCAGTGGAATGTGGTCATGCATTATTGTGAAGTAAAATCACTCCAGGTCTCAGTAGATCACATCATTTTGTTTTGAATAATTCTCCATAATATTTTTCAGGCATCACAATACTTTTCAGTGTTTTTTTGCTCTACAAGGTAGGAACTCAATGAGTAAAACATCCTTCCTGTCCCAAAAACTGGATGCACTCGAGCTTTTTGGCAGAAAGTGCACCTGCTTTTCTTTTTGTCTCTGGTGAGTTCGTATGTCTCCATTCCATTGATTGCTGCTTAGTCTCTTGGTGTTTAAATGCAATCCAAGTTTTATCACTTGTCAGAATGTAGTATTAAAGCTCAGCATCATTTTTGGCATACTGAACAAAGGATGTGAATGCTGTCACCATTCATTATTTCTTCTGTTTGTCTGCAAGGTACTTATGCACCTGCCCTGAACAAACTTTGTGATATTGCAGATCTTTGTGAATGATTTCATGTAGATGTGAACAAGAAATTTGAAAGAATTCTTCACTCAGCTCTGAAAAAATTGATCAAACAGATTTGCCATATCATTCATCAACTCAATGAGCAAAACAGCCATGAGAGGTTCAGTGACAAACAATTAGCAATCTATTCCATCTTCATTATGAACATTCTGCACCATTATCTGACCTTTTCACACTGTCAGTTTGAAACATGTCACAAACTTTTATCATTAGAACATTTTTGGTATTCAGAAATTTGATTACTGAGCATATCTCAGAGATATTCTCACAAAGGGAACCTGGAAGGTTGTCATCACCAATTTTGATGAAATTTTGTGGACATGTAGTATTCATTTGTACTTAAACTCTACCAAAGCTGCAGGACCCACTATTTAGACATTCTTGAGAAAATCTCAATTAAAGTTTTTCTAGAACTATTAATACTTATGCAGAAGTGCCATTCATACGTTCATGGCATTGCATGAAGAGTGTTAATATGCAGATTCAATCCTGTATGAGATAAATTTTTTTATTTATAATTTCATCTTATTATTATTAAATTTATGTACAGTTTTTAAAGTCATCAAAAATTTATTTTTTTATTTTGATCACTTTATATTCAGAAAATACATATAACATTATAATCACATTTTGTATTATTTAACATAATATAGGTTTTTATATTATACATATCAATACATTTATGTTACATTTCATATGTAAGGATAGGAAGATATTATAATAAGCAACTCAACACCATCTGTAGTCTTTCCAGCAAAAAATATATTATATACTGTAGGCTAAATAATATATTAGTTAGATAGGTCTAATCTAATCAGGAAAGAAGATTATGCTTTCTGCCTGGATTATTCAGTTTTACTGGACAGGTAAGAATGCCACTGGAGTTTATCATGTGGATGGGTCCTTTGATGTAGAAAGGGAAGTGACCAAAGTTGACAGCTAGGATTCACTCTTTTCATTCACCAGTAACCCCAGTGATGGAAAGTATAAATAAAACCATTAAGCATCCTGGACAAATTTTTATACAAGACATTTTTGCTTATACTGTATTTGGTTTGTGAGATATAGATATTCCCATGGCATCAACGAGCACTAGTGCACTGTAGCTATCTCCTTAAAACCGATAGAGAAATTGCAAATCGTGAAAATGCTATTAAAATACTCTCTCTAATTCTCAACCATTGGGTGCACCAGTTTTTTGTGACATATTAAAATATGCATTGTTTGCATTTCAAATAACATGAAAGAAATATTTTCAAAAATGTTAATGAATTTGTTTTCCACTCTGTTGTTAAAACAAAATGTAAAGAATTGTGCGAATGAAATAGCAATGATTATTTGTGCATGGTGTGCACTGAACCATTATGTTTTAACTGTTTTTATAATAGATATCATCCAAAATGTTGTCATATTTTTGTGAAACAGTAATTGTAAGTATTTATTGCATGTATATTTTTGTGCTGAAAACTTTAAATGGTTGAAAAAGTAATTCTTGAATTTCCTGATATTTTATAAAGAATAATAAATTTAAAATTCAATTATTAATAATGGCATAAAAATTGTACATAACAAATTTAATAACAATGAGATTAAATTATAAATGTAAAAAAAATTTCTCATATGGGATTTGAACCTGTATATTAACACTCTTCACACAACATCTTAACTAATAACACCATGACCACATGAATGGTGCTTCTGAACAGGTATTAATAGTTCTAGAAAAACTCTAGAAAAAAATTATGATTTTCTCAAGAATGCCTGAATAGTGAGTACTGACTTTGGGTGAGTTTAAGTATGAGTAAATACTATACATCCACAAAACTCCATTGAAATTGGTGATGACAATCTCCTGGGTTCTCTTGTCAGTAATCAAATTTGTCAAATTTTTCAATCTAAAAACTTAGTAATCAACGAGAGATATGCTGAACATATTTCTTTTTGATTACTCTCTTTCATCTAATCTGATTGATCTCTCTGATATCTCTCTTTGATTACCAAGTTGTTTAACAAGATTAAGGAAATACTGTGATCAAATAACTTAACAGAAACAATTTGTAAGAATGTTTTTGAAATTTACACCAATAAAGTCTGTTTCAAAGTAAGCAGATATTATTATTGTTGTTTCATTCCAATTAATAGCATTTGAATGGGACATGTTATTGCAGAAATGACAATTGAATTATTGAAGAAGTTTGAATTTGTCGTTTTATTTATGCAGGTGTCCGTGTGAAGAATGTTGCGGTAACAGATGCCATAACACAGAAAATGTGCCACCCAATCTCCTCACTCCTTCCGAAATAACTCTGATGATTGAGAAGAAAGATTCGCAGTCACTGGGTGTTACGGATCTCACGTGTAACCACAGTACGCGAAGCTGTGGAATTCAAAAGAGTCTTTCAAAATCGCTGATTTCTTCGGTCTCAAACACCCACGTCGGATCATGCAGGGAATGTATGCAGTCCACGGGAATACTGTAAGTAATTTTTTGTAGTCATTAGCATTCATCTTTATGGTAACCAAATAAAAATTTGTGTTCTAGAAACGAGAAGTATTATTCTTCTATTTCTCTAAAACAAGACATAGAAGAAATGCACGGAATAAACCATACCAGTGAGGCATTATTTACTGGAAAATTATCAGCCTGTCATAACAGTCCTAGTAGAAGAAATTGTGCCAGTGAATATAGTGTGTCACTTCCAATGCATCATCACTGCTGTCATAATTCTAGTAAAGATAGAAATTTGTTGGAGAACCATACGAGATTTACGGAACAATGTATTTTGCATTCTTTTTGTCAGGGTCAAAATGCCACGACAGGATTAAATCCTGTTTTTAACAGTTCTGTTCCTTTAAACTCTTTTTCGCTGTCTAACACTACGATAAATAATTTAAGTTTACAAGATATGACTATCATCAATAATCATAAGCCGATGTGGCAACCATTGGAAGATGAAAAGAGAGAACAGATGTCAGAAATAGGTGTAAACATGAAGGTTAGTATTAGTCCATTAAGCTTTAAAAATTTAATAATAATTTAATTACTTGTTATCGCCTCTTCAAAGGGAACGATAACGACAGACGTCAAACAGTGTGAGTGTCATGCCTGTGCGAAATTAAAGGAGACGCCAGTGCCACCCGCCGGACCGGTTGTGTCATCCCTTCTTCCTGTGAGTCATTCTCGAACTTCTTTCCCCCTCTTCACTCATCTGAACGAAATATCCCAAAATAATTCTCGACCATTGATTCATCCACACTTGTATAATTTACAAGTGGGAAAGGCCAATGCCAGTGGTTCCCAGTCTAATAACTTATCACACCATGCACACTGTGCTGTTGATCTAGATTTTGAGGAACGAGAAGTTTTGCAGGAACAACTATACATTGCCACATATGGAGAATGGGATTACAATGCAGAAGATGCCAGACCCTTCCCGAATTACCAGAAGTATGGAGATTCCACATTAAACAATCATTTTATCCGTTCTCACAATTCCCACCTGTCACGATCTTCAGTCAGCAACATCAGCACGACGGGAAGAAGAAAGCCAACGGGTCATGGATCTCCAGCAGCCCAGACCGATCCGGAAATGACTGATGACCGTCTACCTTCACTTCCACACAGTCCCACGAAAACTCACTTATCTTCTATGCCATCCAATGCCTGCACGAGTCCATACTGTCATGGTCCCGTCGGTTCTTCTGGAGCCAAAAGGCACTGCCATGTGCCAGACACTCTCCGCTCCGCTCGCAACCAGAACATCAATGGTGATCTGCACTCTTCGGGTAATGCGGGTACGCAGTCTGGAAAGAACCGGTCACAAACGTCCGACAAGGAACGGGTCCACGCGTCAACTAATTCCATATCCAACGTTCCACCCACCCGGTCTTCCGAACTACACGGCAAAGATAATCAAAATGGTAAAGTATTTCAAAGGGTAGGATTCAGTTCTAACCAAGAAACTGATCGATAATGCATCCCTTGCAGATAATCAGCCGGTTTCAACGCCATACTGCGAAGACACTGAATGTGAGAGTCACGTGGCGGAGGGAGAGGAGAGTGTGGACGACTCCTGTTCCGAGCAGAGCTCTTCAACGTCCACGTCAAACCAACGCGAGAGCCGCGTCTGTGACTGCTGTTACTGTGAAGTGTTTGGCCACGGAGTTGTAAGATCCAACCACCATAATCTGAGAGGGGAATTCTTATTCTTCAGTCAGTAAAAGGTCTTTGTTTTTTGCAGCCGGCTGTGGCTCCAGTCAGTAAAAATTATCCAGAAATGAGAGAAAGGTTAAGATTAAGGTTGAGCAAGAGAAAAGTAAGTAATACTTTTATACTAAGAAATTTATTTCTGAGGAGGCATGCTTACCTGTAATTATAACTCAGGCAGAAACAGGTGGACCCACGACAAAATCTCAAGACACAATAGAACCTGCAGTGGACAACAGGGCACTGGAAGAACTGTTAAACTTCATCAATGGAAATAATAATTCTCCCAATAAATCAAAAGCTTCGAAACGACAAAAAAAGAAGAAGAAAGTAAGTTTAAAAATTGATATTTGTTCAAAGTTCCAAACCATGCATTAATAGAAGAATTAAATAGGATTCTAAAGGCTGTGACACACTAGGCAATTTCTCACCCCAGAGACATGTCTCCGAGCAACAAAAACATGTTGATGTTCGGAGATGTCCAGACTTACAAGGAGACAAGTTGCTGGAGTCATACAATCGACATATCTTACCTGGTAATCAAAAATTTTCACTATCAGTGCAAAAGCATGTATCTTTGAGTACCTCATTGTGTTGTTATTTAATAGTGTGGTTATACCATAAATTGGTTTTTATGATTGAGTTAATAATTCAATCATAAAACCAATTTATGGTATAACCATGCTATGAAATTAAACATTGTATCCTATCAACCATTGACAAGCAACTGTCCTCCATTTTACTTTCCTGGCTGTTATATATAACAGAGGGAAAGTATTGCAATTAGTCAAAAAAATGACCAAGATTTTTACATTTTTGGACTTAGGACACCTTGAAATGTCAAGAAATGCAAAAGAATTTGGGATAATTTCTGTATGTATGGATGTTTATGTGTGGGGACATGATTTTGTTCATCCTCTTTGAAACTTAATAACTCCTGTGCTTTTTGTCAAAATTTTCTGAAATTTTGCAGGAAAGTTTATTTATTAGGGGATTGATGCAATTAAATTTTGGTGGTTTAAAGGTCAGAGGGGTGGGGAGATAATGGAGGGTCATGTGTACAGGGTTGTACTTAATGAAGATTTTACTCATTATTAGCATTTTTGGCTTTTTATAAAACTCATCCCTACTCTCAAAATTAAGCTTTTTGCCATTTTATAATAGTTAAAAATATAAATATAAAAAGTTTTTTTAATAAAATACAATAACAGATGATACCACCAAAATTTTAAATGTTGATGGGAAAGTTGAGCAACTCATTGCTGGTCGTTTATTTTTGTATTATAAACAAGGGTTGTACTCACGTGATAAATCTGTGCGCGCTCATTGGTTACAGTGAGCAATGAGAGACTTTCTGCAGGACTTATATTACTGGACTTGGCACTAGCGTTCAAGATGGCTGCCACTCGTGGTGGATGGAATTAACAATTGAAATCAAACTAAATCACATTAGATAACCATATTACATTTCAGTTACATATAATTATTTGTAATATCTGTTTGTATAATTACTAATAATTAATTATACAAATAGTAAAATTGCTATGAAGTGATGTAATATTATATAAAAACTAATAGAAAAAAATCAAGTACTTTAAAAAAAAGCCAAATTTAATGAATATTTTTCTTTCCTCAAGAAAATTATAAACACATGCTAATGACTTTAAATAGTATTTTGTAAGTTTATTTCGTACTTCAAAATTCCAATAGCAACAGTAGTATCAATCCAATCAAATTAAATTTTTATTGAAATTTATAATTTTATAAATATACAACTTTAGATATAAATTAGGAAAAAGGAAATTTCATTCACTTTACTTTGTCATTATGTACATTAATTTATATGAACAAACTTTAAAATAAATTAGAAATTATTTTATATTAGTAACATTTTACATCAACGTATTAACGATTACCATAAAGGAACCATTTCCGACTTTCAATCTACGTCTCAAAAGTGAAAGTCTTACGATTAACGATTAACTTTGTCCTTTGCTTTCAATGCAAGCTTTTCATTTTGTACTTTGAAATAATTATTCAAAAATGTGTTCCTCGATGTCTTACAGTATTTCACTGCCAATGTTCTTAAAGAAATTCCACATTTGCAAAAAAACATCAAAATCTGTATAGTGCATTTCAAAGTGAACCAATGCTAAATGAATGAATGACAAGTTTCCTCTGGAAGTTCAATTTCAGGAAATCTTTTTCATATATTTTGTTCACTAAAATGCTGAATATCTTTAAAACAATGATACATACAGCCATCACGAAATCTGATGGGGACTTCAGCCACTATGATTTAGAACATCAAAATAATAAGAAAACTTTTCATTATTCTATATTAAGTTTCTGTCTGTCATTACAGCTAATACACAAAGCTCACATTTTTCTTTGTTCATTTTCAATGAATAATTGTAAACACTGCGCAACGTATCCACCAATGCAGACCATTACTTTTTGACTATTTTCTTCAACCTGTATTGTATTTATATATTTTAACACAGAATTAAATTTGCTCGAAACATTATCTAGCAAAGTTACAGCGAAACAGACATTCACACTCGAACAAGACGAAACAAATGAATTAATTGAAAATTCTCCTAGTGAAGCTCATCTCATATTTAATACACTACAAAGTTTTAATTCCCTTTCAGATTCTAAAATTTTCTCCACTGATACATAATTGCTACCACTCATCTCACCCAGTAATATGCATATGATCCTCTAGGAGTTTACATTTTCCTTTAAATACTTCTTCTGTGAAAGACTTATGCCAGCAGTGTTGTTCTCCATTTTACTTAATCATCTTAAATATGATGAATTTGGGAGTGTCAACAGTTTGCTTGAACGTATTAAATGATATTCCCCAGGAAATGAGTAAAATAATGTTGAAGCCCAAAGCAGTATCTGTTGAGTATCTTGACTGGGTAGTGATTGCAAGTTTTAGTTCTTGTATGAATTTTGGACCAAAATATTCAGAGGAAATTAAAGTCTATGTCAACCATCAAGCATAAGTGAGAGTTTTTCTTTACTATCTAGATATTCCTTCTTGAAAGCTGCAAGGCGACTTACCAAACAGTCAAATTTGGTCCATTTTTCACCAAGACACCATTCAAGTGATCACTAGAAAATTTAACATTATAATAAAATATCTGAACAGATAGAGATGTTGAAATTTTAATGGAAACTGTTATCTTTGGTGCTTCGGTACAATTATCGTTGTCAATCTGAAACAGTAAAATATGATTTTCTTTAATACTTAGAATAAAAGACTCTATAATCCTATAAATTACTTCTTTTTGGAATTCATCAAATCCTGTTATATTGTCCCTTGGCTCCACTCTTGGAACTGCTGTTCATCACCAACAAGAACTTGTTCTAAACGTTCTTTGGGATCCTTTCTTTTGGGATGTAACTGCTTAGTAAGATACGAGGATTGATTTTGAAAAACTGTAGGGTATGCATCTTCTTGCAGCTTTAACTTTTTCCTCGGTACACTTACGAAAGTGCCATTAGCACAAGGAAATTTATCTTCTCTAATAACGAAATGGGTGACAGAATTTGTTTGTTTGTTTTATCAAGTTATGGCAACACTCGGGCGATCTGCCTAGGGGGATGCCTTCCGGAGGTCTTTTTAAGGATAACTGGCCCCTATTCGGGCGTTTCAGACGTAGAGAAAACCCGGAAAACTGCAGGTCCTGACCAAGCGCGAACCCACGACCGAACTCCCAGTGTTCGGGAAACGGAATCGCTTGGCCACAAAATGATTTATACAAACTTCCGAGTTATTTGTTGGTGAAAAGTTTTCACGACGTTTGCTTTCGATCGATTTCTCTCTTAAATGTTTGTCTGTCTTCAGAGAAACAAAAAACAGGAACTAATGGTCGATCTTTATAATAGTTGGATTTGCATCCAGGGACACAATAATTCTGCGGCATTTAAAAAAAAAAAAAAAAAACTTTCATCCGAATATAGGACAATGAGGTTTTATCACTTTATAAGATTTAAGGTATATTAGCTTTAGAATAAAGTGTAGGTATTACTTCCGTAGCCAATCTACTTACATAAGCCATTGATCCCACTGTTTGTATATCTGTCATCCGTCACGGAATGCCTAGAACGCCCACTAGTAAACTATAAAGTACGGTAGGAAAAGTAAAACTTTTATACAAGACATAAATATTTGAATATTCCTTAAATTAGTCTATTCGCATTCCCACTCGGTCACCAAAAATAATTTTACTACAAAATCACATTTAACACCATAATTTCTCTTAAATTCTTTTTCTTCTTTCTGTCCTACTTAACCAGATAATTAGGCACAAGAAACCATTAAAAACTGTTTAATAAGTTCGATATAAGTCGATAGTCGATAGAACACTTTAACAAGGTAAACATTACTACCACCACAAGCTTGCGCCATTTTCTTCTTTTCCGTTTCCAATGTGTCGGGTCCCGCCTTTTGTCTCCGAAAAGTTCAAACGATTTGACTCCCACTGCCCGAGAAACGGGTTTTTCCGTCGCCCGGCGACATTTCTTCCACGAAAGTCGCCTAGTGCGTCACGGCCTCAACGCAAAGACCGTTTGTTGCCGCTACTCTTTTACGACAATTTTCGGAGAAAGATTTTCCCACGAAAGCATTAAATTTTTAACGCTATCCGATTAAGATGGCGTGCGTAACCAGAGGTTACGATCGGCCTTTAAGCCCGGCGCAACTCGATGCCTTCGGACGCGATTTTCTTTCCGCCGTCTGGCCGCATCACTCGCGACCAGGTTCCTCTACCCCTCTACAAATGTGTCGAAAATCGACCACGGCCGTTGCGTTTTTTCTAAGCTCCATGCTACCACCGCTAGCGTGTTTTTTTATCGACAAGATTTAAATTAAAAATCGCAGCCGGTAGACAAAATAAGTGGCATAAATATTTCGATGCGCGCGAGCATCCGGGACGGTGGGCCGGAAAATTTTCACCCGCCGAATCCGAGATGGATGGAAGGGAGCGCCTACTTTCCGTCTGCGGCGGCCGCTTAGTCCGACTCGCGCGATTTCGTGGCCTTTGTCACCGCTGGCACGGGACAACGTATATTCTCGCCGGGAGGCGCATTGGGTATAGTTAATCTCCACACCACACCAGGTACAAACGTGGTGTGGAAAATAGTAAGGATGCAAAAAGTAGTAAATATTAATTTTATTTTATTATAAAACTCGCCACTTTTTCAAATTGATTTTGAAAGTTTGGGCCGCTATTTTTAAAAAAGAAACCGGCATAATTTATTGCCAGTCTCCTTCCGTTCGGGTGGGGCAGCGAAGGAGCTAAGTGGAGTGCCGTCGATTATCGTTTTCTATGATTTTATTTAGTTTACCGTCCGAGCAAAGAGAAAAAGTTAAGAAATATTTGGGTGGCGACGGCCCACGCGGTTTGGAATAAACGTTAATAGAAGAGATTGCCTAACGTTTCAGGCGGAAGAGAAGATCGTCAAGCAGTTAGAAAACTGCAGCCTGCGAAGCGAAGAGATTTATCAGTCTTCGGATTCCTACCAAAAATCAAAATACCGGTGCCCGGAGGCCCAGTGCGGAGACGTCTGCGGAAAGAAGACGGCTTTTGCGCCCGATCCGGACCAATTTCTCAACGGAGTCTCCGCGCAGAAGAACCAATGCTGCGGCCAAGACCACAACGGAACCGACGCGGCCACTAAAGGTGAGAGGTGGGATTCGGGGCCCGCGACTCCTCCCGGCGTCCTAACCGACTCTTCTCCCGAATCGCAGGCATCCCGGAGACCACCGACTCCGGAAGCGGCAGGTCGACGGCGCCTCCCCAGGGGACCGACTCCGCCGCCAAAGACAACAAGAAGAACGCCGCGCCCGACAGTCAGGTAAACGCAGGACAGGCCGCGGCCGTCCGGGAGATTTCCTTTTACAATCGCCGCCTTTCTCTTTTTTAGAGCCCGAAACCTTCCGCCAGGAGCAAAAAGAACAAGAAGAAGAAGAACTGCCTAGACGACGCCACCTCCCTGGGTAAGTACCGCCCGGCCACCTTCTCTCTCTCTCTGCGCCCCTCTACTCACCCCCTCCCCACCGTTTTCAGACGACGTCTTCCTGCCTAAAGACATCGATTTGGAAAACGGGGAACTGGACGAACTGGAGAAGGAACTGGAGGCGTTTAAAAGGTCACTTCTCGTCTTTCTCTCTTTCTCCCGGCCTCACCGCCGCCCCCACTAACTTTCGCGGGTGTTTCAGGTTCTGCTTCAATTCCAAGCCGCTGGCCCGCAAGGAGAAGGTCAACGTCAACCTCAAGGACATAGTTCTGAAGAAGAAGTCTCAGTACGCGTCGTCGGGACCCAACGCCTCTTCCCAGAACCAAAAGTGTTGAACGCCGTCGCGGACGTTACCGATCTATCTATATCTTTCTCTCGACCGCATCCCATCGGACGGGAACCGCCATCACGACGAAGACGTATCCAGTAAACTGTTGATTCTGTCCTTTGTTATCTATCGTTTATTCGCATTTTATTACGGCAAGAGAATAAAAGCAGACTGATATGTATCAGTTGAAGTTAAAAAAACCTCTCTCTCTCTCTGCCTCTTAGGGGAGCAATTCTGTTGTTCGTCTTCGCTGGCATCTTTTGTAATTCTAAAAAATTCCCACTAAAACGTAATGATTTTTTTTACTTTCGTAAAAAATTCGAGACGAGTTCTAGTCGGTTGCACGCGTTTCGTTCGCTAGAATAATCGTCGAAGGAATTTTTGGAGCGACGTGGCGTTTTTTACAAGTCGGATTGGTAGAAAAAATAACTTCCGATAACGCCGGGCAATTTTTCGTCCGAGTTAAAAAAAAATGCATTTCTCACGCCATTCTGCCAGGAAAAAACTTCGACGTTTCCAACCGTAATTCGTAGGAAAAGTCGTAGCGTTCCGCTAGCGCGACAAAGACACGCCCTCGGGGTTTGTTCCCTTTTGCCGTTTACTGATACGGTCTATTTGCATTTATCGGATTCTAAAATAAATTCGAAACGTCACGCGATACTCCGAAATTGCCGCCTAAATCCGCGCGTAATTACTGCCTCCACTAATTAAACAAAGTAGACAAACGCGCGCATGCCGAGAAATCCACACAAACGCGTCTTTTCCAGGTCTCCCCCGGCCTTTTACGTCATCGTACGAGGAAATGGGACGCGCGTGGATCGAAGAACTTTAGTTCTAGATCGGCATTTTTTTCTACAAGATCAAACGAATTAGCATAGTTCTGTCCGCTTTAATAATTAAAGTTATTGGGGTGTTGTTAACGAGGAAAACGGAGACAATACCGTTGTTTTCTCAAGTACCGCCCGTGGGCATTTCTTGCCTATTATGTTACAGAAGCCAAGTGGGTCGGAGGAGTCCCCGTTTTACGCGCCACGGTTCTCTCGCGGATGAAGAAAACGCTCGTAGTGGGCGGATACTTTTTCGGACGGGGGAAATTAGGGTAGAAATAGGGAATTTCCCGTTAGGTGGCGAAAATCCGAAACGAACTTGCGACGGAAAACGTATTGTTAAAGAATTCCATTGCGCGAATAAATTATGTATGCGAACGAGGAGATTCCGGGAGTAATAGGGAATTTTCCCTCAAGAAAATCGCGACAAAAAGCCAACATTTTTATAGAAAGTGTTTCCTTGCGCCAACGAATTACGCCTTGGGGATTTTCAAACTCTTAAGTGCTAAGGGGCAAATCCGGTAAAGGCGCGGACAATCGGGCATTTGAAATTCCCGCAGAAACGACTCGATGCGTCGGTTACAAACGTCAACAGACTCGTACGGGGTTAAAGTAGGACGACGTCATAATTTCTAAATAAGTGAGGGGCACGGACTTTCCGGCAAACTTATCACGTTTTTCGCTCAAGAAAGCGTTAAATAGAATCGGAACTTCTAAAAGCGCCAGGGAACGTAGCGGACCCGGAAGAAGCGATACACGAAACGTTCTCACGAGGATTTTTTTTTTCTGTTGCTGCAGGTTTCTGCCCCCCGGCGAGCGACGCGTTTCGTTTCGTCTCCGCCAATCGACGCCGTCGCGCCGCGCCGAGCGGCTAAGGGGTTGGATTTTTTCCGGCCGAGAGGAGCCGAGGAAAAGTCTCGCGCAATCTTTTGTGCGGCATCGAACACGAGACAACGACATTCTGAATGCGTCTGCGGGACGATCCTTGAGGATTTCGTAGGATTTTTACTTGTCGACGCCGCATCGAAAATGGCAAACTGCGGAAATTACTGTTTACTTTTCTTAACTGTGGCATCGTTACTCGATCTCCCCTCCTCCTTTCCTTCAGGTAAGTGAATTCCTCATCCCTCTTCCTAGCCGGCCTCTGCGGCATTTTGACCCATCTAAACACGTGACCTAGCGCTCAAGGATCTCTGCCAAAATTTTACTCGGGGGTCATCCGGACATTTTTAAAGCAATTGAATAAATATGCCCTTCTAAAGAGACGCGCTTGGACGATTTCCTCGCTCTAGCGAGGTAAATGAGGCATCGAAAGTAGTACAGAAAGTGAGATTTTCTTAACTGGGACGTCTTCCCTATCTCGTTCGTAACGTTACCGTCGATGTTACGACGTTCGATACGAAATTTAATTTTCGCACAAATGTCTTCGCCGCCGTTCTGTCCAGGTTATTGTTCTACAAACGTTCGAAAATAGACCCATTGTGTGGTGGACACGATTAGGTATTAATTTTGGTAACGTAACGTCACGCACCCCACCCCCTAATCTAGTATTTTTACGATCTGCGAGTTCTGAATTGATAAATCTACGGGGATAACGAATTATCAGATCGTCGGTGTTATCGGGGTAACCGAAGAATCGGCGCTAGGTAGCACGAACGAGTTCGATCTGAGTGCGTTCTTGCGTGTAACAATTCTAATTATTTTATTGGATTGTGTGTTTCTTTTTGTATTTGTTTATGTTACGTAGACGAACGGGTTGTTTTGGATAAACACGACGACGATTTAGACAATAACTTTCTCTAAAGTTTCTTAACACGCGTGACGAATTTTCCTGCCTTACGTAAGACGAAAGCCATTTTTCCTTGGGCTTACGGACAAATTTACATAAATCTGGAAAAATAAGGCAGATGAGGTCATTCCGATTTTGTCCCTGTTTCGTGTTTAGTATATTTATAAACGCGCGTAGAAAGTTAACTTTCGGGGGTGTCTATAGGGAAAAAAACCCTAGCGATCAATGAACCTTATAGGGAAAAATGAGTAACCGGAGGGAAATTTTCATATTTAATTATTCACAAATATTAAGAGCTACATTTGTGTAGTTAATGTAGCTTAAAATTTAATTAATGGTTAGAGAAGTAACAAGCGGTATGCATGCTCATAAGCGGGGGAATGTCATTGCCATCTCTATTTTAAAACTATCTTTTTTTAAATGGTTAAAGGTCAGGAGGTCAGGATGAACGAACTTAATCCGGGACCGTATTGTTTCTGAAATCAATGAAGGGAGAAATAAGACGTAAAAACGTTACGAGTCGATCATCGAGTTAAGACGTTAACCGGACAACTATTAATTTCGGTTAGTAGTTACGCGGGTTAACCGGAAACGATGTCCGGCTATCCGGTTACACTGGTTAAAATTTGGCATAATTTATAAATGATCCGGTTGGGAAACCGGTACTTCTCTCGATTAGTTCCGTCAGATCCTGCCGAATTATAAAGTTATATAGGTTCTAATGGGATAATTAACGGTAGGAAGATGGAATTATGCCCGGGGAGTAATTCTCAAACAGAGGAAAATAGTTCGTTTTCTTATGTGGAACACCAGGAAAGTTTTGTATATTTACAGTTAAAATATATACACGAACGTCTGTCCTTTGTTATGAATAAAGTATAAATAATCGACTCACCAAATAATACAAAATTTTTAATATAGAGAGAGGGGGCTGGACGAAGATTTGTGCGCGACGTCCTCCACAGACCTAAGTGAACCGAAATCAGGCCGTTTCCATGCTCCCAGCATTAAAATTAAAATGTTACTCCGACTAAAAACTTGTTCTCTTCATTTGTAATTTTTAGTTTATAACATAATATATAATAATTACTGTAAAAGTTTTGCCTTTTCCTTCCTGATTCCATCATCACGTAAGACAATTTGATAGTTAAATTATGGTTGTAAACTTCCTTGCAGAAAAAAAATTCTTAGCAGTGTATCTAAAAATAGTAAACGTTAATAAACTATTCGAGATATAAGCTACTGTTATATTTATCATACATTTAATTGTAACAATTAGATTTTGCCTTAAAAATGTAAGATGTAGCTGCAGTTGAATCTGAGAATCTGTATTGTGTTTATGATCTTCATTTGTAGTTTTCAGATGGCTCTGCTGACCTGGCTTGCATGTTTCAGTCAATCCACTATTTCTCTTCCTGAACACTACACCAGTTTATTCTTCTTTCTTCCACACCCCGCCCAATCCAGTCATTTTCACTAAGGCATGTTTTTGTCATTTATCTCCCCATCTTCAATTTAAATACTCTCTCCATAGCCTCTCTTCCATCATCACTGTCGTGTGTCTATACCAGTGTTTCTCAACGGGGCAATATTGCCCCCGTGCGGGCGTTTTTCCATGTTGAGGGGGCAATTGGTAACAATTTATATTTTGGGGGCAAAAAACAATTTTCTGGGCAATATAGTAAAACATTATATTAAGAATAATTAGATATTTTATTCGATGCAGTACGAATTTGGCATTAGCCTTGGCCCTCGGTGTCGGAATTTTGTAGTGAAGGGGCGGTATTACGTAACAGTTTTATTGAACGGGGTGACGATTCGTTAGAGGTTGAGAAACACTGGTCTATACCATTTATTCCTTGTCTTTGCAATCCTCTCTAACCACTTTCTCGTTTCTTCTGTTAGATCATATTTACTCTTATAAAAGCCATTGGGTTGGGTTGATTTCCTTTGTCACTCATTCTCTGTCACTGAGACCCTTGTGTCAAGTGTTCATAAATATTAATAGTACTTGGTTCAGTCAAAAAGAAATCGGAATTTTTTTAAGCACATAATTTAGTATTTTTCAAAATATTTCCCTCATTGGTTTAGGCAAGTATCCCACCACTTCACGGGATTTCTTATTCCCTTTTCATAAAAACAATTTGACTGCTTGCAAACCCATTCCGTGATCCTCTCTCGTGGGTCATCGTCTGATTTCTTTAGTTAAGCATGACTAATCTCTGGACGGTTGGAAACTTCGTTGGCGGCGATGGACTGGATCAAGGTATTTGCTGTGGCAATTTTAGTGTCGGTTTGCCATTACGCATGTTGTCTGGTACCGATTTTCATCCTGCACAAAATCCCATGGCCCATTTCAAGTTGACAATGTATTCTTGTCTTAACAGCTACTAATCTACGCTGGATTTAACTTTCTCTAATGTCAGAAATTCAATGACTGAACACTGTTCTTCCTTGAATGGGCTTACACTGGTGTACATTATTTTCTGGAGTAGCTTATCTGTGCTGCTAACGTATGCAAAATATTAATAAACAATGTTCCTACATACCTGCCAAATTCTGTTTTCCCAACATAAATGCTTTATTTTTAAGAAAATAATTCCGGTTTCTTTTTGACCAAGTAATTTACTAATGCCCAATTACGTCAGAAAACAGTGACAGGCTTGTAGTAACACAACAGTACAGACTATGGTAAGACCATAGTAAATAATCTAATGCTAACAGTATGCTGTTTGATTTTGCAGAACGAAGACGAGTTATTTATTATAGTCTCCCGCGAGGAAAGAATCCCGCCACGGTCAACCCGTCCAAATTATCATCCATCTTGTCACCACTTCTGAAGGGAAGAACTACTACACCATTGTCTCCGAAAAAAGAAAGCAAGACTCCAGATATGACAAAAGGGCAGAGCATCATCATCTTTTATCAAAATTCGGATAATTTCCCATCGGTGAAATCAAAAAACTTTCAAGATTTATTTTCTAGATTTCTGACTCGTCAGTTTTCAAATAGGATGATGATGATTGTCCCTGCTGGTGGTGGATCATCACCTTCTATTAACACCACCGCTAGTACTAGTAACAGTACCAATACCAATACCACCACCACTACCACTACTACTACTACCACTACTACTACTACAACTACAACAACACCTTCCCCTACAACTACAGTCAGAAGTACATCCTCATTGCCTCCAACTCCAAATACTTTCAATACTACTGCTATTATCATGTCTCAAAAGGATAATTTGACTCTTTCTGATCCTGACTTGTCATCATCTGTTTTAGAACCAGTTCAGCTTTCAAATGACACTAGTGACAATCAGACATCCTTAATGAATGAAACTAATATTGTGCATTTGGAAGCAAACCACACTGCAATGGAAACGATACTGGAAATAGCCAATACGACGTCATTTGTGCAGCCAAATCTAACTACGAAACGACCGCATACTACTAAAAGTAAAAATCACACGAGTGTCCAATATTCTATATCCACTTACAGTGTTAGCAGTTCAGACAATTCAGAAACTAGAACTTATTCTTTTGAACCAAAAAGACTGAAACCGCAGGAAGAAAGTAAAATTAAAATGAGAGATCCTGGATACATAATTTTCTCTGCATTAAATCCCAATATATCTGATGTACTTCGACCTGTCTACAGAGGAAGTAATGACGATTCAAAAGTGAGTGAAGAGACACAAACTTCAATTTCTGTCAGTGTAGATAATTCTGACAATACCTTCTCAACACCATCTCCAAAAACTTATGTATTAATAGAAGATTTCCAAGGGGAAAAATTAACTAGGAAAGCAACTAAGAAAACTAATCCATCTGATAAAAGTCAAACACAAACAAGCCACGAATCAAAGAAAACTGTTGCAGGATCTCTCAAAAATCTCAGACATTCTAATTATCACATAACAAATTATACTTATGTAGCAGATGAAACTACTGCCGACAGAAGGATGTCGACATCAGATTCCGATATGAAAACATCCGAAACAGAATTTCTCCCGCTCACCGACATAACTTTCTTCAACCCCTTCCCCGCATTCAATTCGGACGGTGATTCATCAGAGGATCGTGGTGGTTACGGAGGCTACTCTGAAGACCGACCGGGACAGTATTATCATGCTTCCGAAGCTAGAGAAAAAGATTACGGAGTATTGGGAAGTGGAAATTTTGAAGTCGTAAAAGGAGGTATATATAAAGAAGAAGAAGGATCCGAAAACAATCTCCGCTACCACCGTGCTAATCCAGAACCCTATAACAATCATGGATACCAGGAAGACGAAGCCCAGTATGACTTTGGTCCGTTTCAGTTTCGATTATTCAATGCACTGTCTGAAAGAAGACCGGTCAGGATCTTACCTTCAAACAGAGGGTTGAGATTTGGAAGCTCACAGCTGATACCGACTACAGCCGATCTGCTCGCAATGGCATGATTTTCTGCAATTTGAAAAAGAAATTGTAAGTTCTGAAATGTTAAGTACAGATTTGAGTTGGACAATTACAGATCAGTATGTAAAAGTTTTTAAAATTTATTAAAGCTTTAATATATTAGTGTTTTTATTAAATCTATTTATTACAATTATGTATTGCACTTAACTGCAAGGCATCTGTTATTTGTTGGCTTACAAAATTGTCTCAAAGTTCTTCCAGTTGTCATACATTGGTTTAAAAGTTTCCAAAAATATAACAAAATACAAGGATGAATGAATAAGCAGCACAATACCACATACCTGTATTTGTACTGGATTTACACTGTTTCTGTAACTAGTTTCCTTTCATATTATCTTAGGATGAAAATACAGATAAAAATTAAATTTTATTGCATTTTATGTGTTATAACAATATTAATATACTATTTCTGGTAAATCTAATCTGATAAAACAACTTTTAGTTTTTTGAATAGAAAAAAAAAAACTGTTACCTGTAACAAACAGGTTGTATTTCTCTAAAAATGGAATTTGAGAAAATAAATCTACAGTTTTTCAACTGTTATATAACATACTTTGAAATAAGCGTCTATTGATTTTAAAAAAGAATTTAAAATATTTACAGATCTATTACATAATGATGAACTTAATGCTAAAAGTAGTATTCTGAAAACATAATTTAATGAAATATGTTTCAAAATATTGCAAATAATAAAACAACAATACTAGATAAAATAAAGTCTTGTAACACAACAAAAAGCAATTTTTAGATAATAATAATATTGCAGCTTGAAGGAAAACTGACTTCTTTTAACAATTCACTTAATATATGCAAAAAGTTTTAAATTAGCTTTCTAGATATAAATAGAAGAGGTTAAGGGAAAAAATTGTTTATCTTGTATAAATCTTTCTTTTGCAGGGACAAATATTCAAAACTGAAATTGAATAGAAATGGAAACCTGTGGCCTATATTTGCATATTGTCAAATCAGAGAAGTGCATTTTATATTCAAAACTGTTTGATGCTGATTAAAAAGCAACTGTAGAGTGATGTTATGCTTTAACGCATGATCAATATATTAATAGTTTTCAGCTCTAAAGTTCTTCCAGTTCATTATAATTGGCAAATAAATGTATTTTACGTGCATGTAAAATACATTATTTAAAAAGTGCTATATTTTAAATGAACAGCTGAAAAGTTTTGACTCATTACTCTGTCACATACAAGAGTTATTGTATCTGAATTTGTAAAATGATAATGTTTTGGTCTTGTGTAAATTAATAGGAAGAAAAAGAAACAGTTGCAGATTTCATTGCTAGGTTGTGTTCTAGGTATGCTTGACTTCCTGTTTTCTTCTATTCTATCATTGCTATTTCATCACATTTTATGGTGTGTATGATCTCTAAACAAGTACTGTACCTACAGCTTGTTGGGAAATAATTTTTCTAACTTTACTTTTAGCCTACTCTATAGAGTTCTATGTACTGTGAAAGAACCTGTATAAGTTGCTGTAACCATTTACAATAAACACATCAGCTATAACAAATTGCTTTATATCATGCTTATTTAATATTCAGTAAAACAATATATGAAATTAGAAACATGAGTTAATACATTACTTAATAATTTTAATAGTAAATTAAAATAGTGTTAACTTGGACATGATTTTATATTTTATTAAGCTGTGTGAGAACTGTTGCTTAAACTTAGAAATCCAAAGACACAACACATTTAATATACTTTTTGATAGTACATCTGCCTATACTATACAAAAAAGATAATACACAACAATTGGATGGTATATTTATATCTCAATGCTCTCAATCAATAACCACACATAATTGGAAAGTTATACAAAACAAATCATACAAATATCTTAAGAATTCAGTCCTTTATTCAAACATAGTAGTAAGCAACTGAAGCTGAACCATTAAACTGGTTTGAAAATATTTTTGATTAAAATTTTTCTGGAGTTTTCATAGTGTTTGTATGATTTATTTCCTCAATGCTCTGCTATCTCCAATAGAAATCAATGTTTAGCCTTTCATGATATGCCAAAGAATCCTGTAGTGCTGTGCTAATTTATACAAAGATTTAAATCTTCCAAAAAATTAAGCAAATACTCAAAAATACACAGTTGACACTAGGAGGACAAGGACTTCATTATAATAGGTAAGTAGGTTCCTTTTGCTGTTTCCCTCCTTATAAAATGATGAGTGCATTCAAGCTGCTTTCACATTTAAAGGTCTTAATCAACTTTGAGGCAACACCTTTAACTATTGCTACTGAAATGAGTCAAACACACTTGCAGCCTGTTGTAACCGATGTGTTTATTGTATGCGAATACAGTAATTTCTATAGGTTCTTCAACAGTACAAAGAACTCTATAGACTAGGATAAAGGTAAAAAAATTACTTCTAAGTTAGAATAAAAACTTTCCAATGGGCTACGGTTAATTGTTTAGAGATCAAACATTGCAAAACAGCAATGATAGAAGATACTAAACAGGAAGTGAGCATAACTAGAACTGTTTGTTTTTTCTCCTATTAACAGAACACAGTAGTTCTTAATAATATATATATATATATATAACATAAAAATAGAATAAAGTAGATTATTATATTTTTCAATAGCAAGTATCAAAGGAATGAAAACTTTATAATTTTTTAATTGATAGAAACACAATAAATCTTTAAAGAAGTTTTCCATAGTCCTTCAATGTTTAGAAATGTCTTTTAAAATGTTTAAAAAAAATATTCTTAAAAGCATACACAATATATTTATATTATGATAAATATTACTATTAATTCATCAATAATTGAATTTAAATACATACTAATTTGTTTGCTTATTAATTCCAAGAAATGATTACAAAAATAATTGATATATCAGTTATCCAATAATTGAAAATTCATCTATAATTAAAACTGAATAAGCAAAAATAACTTTTAATAATCAAAAACTGTTTCAAGTAATTTCATACAAATGAACACCACAGAAAACATAATTGAGGTTTGCAAACCTTCATAAAAGAGAGATGAAATTTTCAATCATAAATCATCATATACTGTGACAAAAAAAAAGGATGCTTTGAAACACATTCTTATTAAATATATCATTAAGAAATTAACTTACCCATAACAAAAGACTTTTAAAATAGGAACAAGGGCTTATTATGATAATTTTTATTGTTGTAATTATTTTTTGGCCTAATTTTTGTTGAAAAATTCAATTTTTGTAAATATTACATATACTATATCTCGTGTAAAGTCTTTTGTCAAAATATTCCAATTTTTCTGCATTTATTTGCTTCCTAACAAATGAAGAAGTGCTAGAATCATTTTGCCAACTCCATCATAAATCTCGTGGAAATTCGGCGTATCATACATAAAGGCAGGAGTGGTGACCACCAAGTTATTCTTGTCGACAATGACACCGTAATGAAAAGTTAAAGCAACATAACAATTAAAATAATAATATTGAAAAGATAAATTATCATTATTAAAAGGATATATCAACATTGGTATTATGATGTATAGCACCCCATGATTTCACGGCTTCGACAGCTCCGCAATAGGGCCATTTTCCAGAACCGTCATCTAAAATTTAAATTGCATATTAATAATTAAATTGATTTTAGAAAATAAATCATATAAAAAAAAACAGAGATCTAAAAATCTCTTAACACAGTTTTAAGTTCTCTAAGATTGTTATAAAATACTATTTATTATGCATCATGGTTGAATGCATGGATAGTTAAGTGTATCTCAATGTAATTTTTGACTTTTTGTATTTTACTTGATATGAAAAATAATATCGCTATAATTGATATAATGAATGTTTCAGAATAAATAGTCATACTTTCCTTTTAGTTTAATGTTGTTTACTTTTTAAAGCTAGTAGATATATAAAGCCAGAAAGAAAAAAACTACAGGGAAGATTATGGAATTACCTTGCCATTTTTTTTTGTCAGTAAAGTACACAATATTTGATTATTAATAGATAGAACTAAGTGATAAACAAAATGGATTGAATTCATTGACTTGTTTTCTCCATTCCAGTGAATTTAGGATGTTTGTATGTAATGTATGGGATAACTCAGTCAACATTCACAAACAAGTTTTAGTGACTCATGGAACACTTTAAGAACAATAACATTCTAAACTTTAAACAGCTACGTTCATATTATTATTATAACAAAATAATAATTTTAAAAAAATTATCTCAAAAATTTGCAAGTTTTGCTCTTTTACTACACGGTAGGAAAATGAACTATATTATAGCAAGTTAATATAAATAAATTGGTTTTTGCCCTTGGTTTAATTAAATTACTGTAATTAAAAACCTACTAATGTGAGGTAGGAATAAGGACTTATCACACCAGTGATAATAAACACAAACACCCAGGTATCAATGGAATACATTTAATAAAATGAGAAGTGGTGTACATTAAAAACGATTAAATTAACAATTGACATGAAATAACCAAAATGAATTTTGGACTATTTCATGTCAATTGTTAATTTAATCGTTTTTAATGTTCTCATTTTATTAAATGTATTCCATTGATACCTGGGTGTTTGTGTTTATTATCACTGGTGTGATAAGTCCTCATTCCTACCTCACATTAGAAGGTTTTTAATTTATTTAATTATAGCAAGTTATTACATTTCAATTAAATTTGCAATATTAAAAAGCTAAAGTCTAAAGCTTAATTAATTTAAGTAATAAAATTATCATATTAATTTAAAAAATTAAAAATATTTTCATAATAGTTTTTTTAATAATATATCCTTTCTTAGTTTTTATTATTACAGTATTATTATTATTAATTTGGAAAATAATTTCATAAAATTACCTTTATCTTGCCCTAATGTGATCTCTACTTTTCCTAGAACTCTGGCTGCTAGAGTAGGAGCAATGCAGCAAAATCTTCAAGAGATAATGATAATTTTTAATATGGTATAAAAACATATGTGATAGTTATGAGAAAGAATTTTTTAAAATACTGACGCAAGTGGCTTCTTGGATGCATGAAATTCTTTTATAACACGAGCTACTTCTGGAATAACTTTACAATTTGCACCATCAACGGCAAAAGTTGATCTAGTTTCAAAAACTCAGATATTACTATAAAAATCATTGATGTTAAATAACATTTCATAATAAATTTTTAATTGTATTAATGTAATTACATAATTGTTCTGAATCTTAATGCAAAAATTTTTACTTATACAAAAGTATGCAGAAATTTTTCATTATAAAACACAATTAAAATAATTTTATATTTACGACTACATTTAAGAATCTTATGAAATGCATTTTTTCTTTTACATTTCTTAACACAATCTTGTAAACTGAAAACTATACTAATTTATATTGAAACTACAGTTAATTGAAATTTAATGTGGTAGGTATTGTATTTATCTAATGTTTTAGAATTATATCAAAATGACATTAACAATATTTTAACTCTGAAAATGTTAAACGTTTTAACATTCACTTTAAGATATTTCTAGAATTCATCATTTATGGCAGCAGAAAAATTGTTTTGAAAATTTATCAAATAATAATTTAATTTTTCATTATTTTCATAATTGACCAACTTTTAATAACTACCATTAAAACTTTTAAACAATTAATTGGAAATGTTAATAAAAAAAATTATTATTCAAAGAGATATTAAATCTAAAGTGTGAATAAAGATATTTATTTTAACAAAAATAAAACAAAAATTTTTTATAATTTTATTTAACTTAATCTAAATTGTAATTACTCTTCTTTTATTCATTTTAAATCATTTCCATTTAATTTATAACTGCTACATAATTTATTATAAATACAGGGTGGTTATAATTAAAGTTGCGCTACTCAGACCTGTCTAGAGCCCGTTCTCGTGGACATATATATACATTTCATCGAAATATGGACCATGGAAAATGTAAAAAAAATATTTAGTTCAAATTTTTACCACTAGGTGAAAAAATGGCACATGAACAAGAAACATGCAAAAGGTTTTTATTCACAACATTTGTTCAATGTGCAATCCATTTGCATTGTAAGGTGTTTTGAACATGTAACTGATGCAAATGGATTATATATAATACTAGCTGCAAGGACCCGCTTCGCTGGGTTTTTATTTGTATGTAATATAGTTTTTTATATATATATAAAAGGCTGTTTTCTAAGTAATCTAGAATCTAGCTTCAAGGACCCGCTTCGCTGGGCAAAAAGTAACGATAGTGAAGATTAAGATAATTACATTATAACCAATCTTATCCGTTTTCACAGAATGCAAGAATTAGGTCCCTCGTTTCCAGACTAATTAGAGAATTTTTACACGAGTCTAAAAATATGTTCGATTTCCCGAAAAAATGCAAAAAACCGCCTGTAAACCTTGCATGCCGCTTTATATTAACACTTCCATTGTTAACACTTCCACTGTTGACACTTCCATTGTTACACATCCTCGAAGTCAACCACTTACAACCCCATATCTCCTACATCCTTATAGCACAGAATGCAAGAATTAAGTCCCCCGTTTCCAGACTAATTAGAGAATTTTTACGTCTAGTCAAACGAACTATTTTCAATTAGATCAATTTTCTGAACGTTTACAATCGTTCTATAATCGAACCAATTCGAATTTAAAATGGTTCAAACATTTTTAAAATCGAAATAGAAAATCTTCGAAGTCAGCCACCTTAAACCCCATATCTCCCGCACCCGCACCCTTATAGCTATCGAGATGCAACCACCATAATGCACGAATGGAGACTTGGGGCTACCACCACATACAAACACCATTCATGTGCGATGTATAGTTTTGGCTGAAAAGTGAAACATAGGGACACACGTGTATTTGTATATATATATATAAACAGCGTGATACAAATATAATAATAATAAAATATAAATATAATCTATCTATCTATATATATATAGAGATTATATTTATATTTTATTATTATTATATTTGTAATTATATAAATATAAATATAAAAATGATAACTCAATAGATTATTTCAAAGGTTTAAGAAGTAATGCATCGAATATAATAGAAAAGCTGATTAGAGATTTCACGCTGTTTGAGTAACAAAAGCTTAAAAAATCGCTTTAAGTGGGCGAGTCGATTTCCTAAAATTTAGTGACAAACGCAGTAGTGTTGTATAGCAACTAGCCAAATAGCTGTCAGTTCGAATTTGGTATTCTTTGGGATAAGTCGCTTGATCGTTACTCACGGTAAGTACGTGTGATTTTCAGATTTCTACTAATGTGTATATAAACAAATGCGTACTAATTATATTTTTATTAGTTATATAAACCTTATTCACTTTATTTGAAATTAGTAGAGTTTTTAATATAATTTCTTTGGTTACCTTTTGCAGAGATATCAGAATATGGAAAAGTATCATTACAAGCTTTGTCAGAAGTTTTCTGTAAATCCATCTTCACCAGCTGTCAAGAAAAAAGCAATAAAGTGCGATTATTGCTTGAAAAGATTTACGCAGCAGCAAAATTCGTCTCAGGTAAATGAAATCATATTATAATCATTTGATATAGTTTATAAATATATTATGGTTTACAACAGTAACATATACAACGGTTTACGTGTAGAAAGTTATCTAATTGTAAATGTGTTTATTCGTAACAATCTTTTTCAAATATATTTTATTATAATAACGTTGAGCCTAAGTTTTGTTTACATTTTTACAATATTCAACTGATTTGTCATATTTCCACTTACTTCTGAATATTTTGTGGTAGTTAAAATTCATATAACTATTTAATTACTTTTCATTCAATAATCCTACTCGTGNGATTTAACATCTCTGGTTGGTTTGATGGTAAGTAATAATTATGCCTCTATTGATGTCATTTTTCCACTCTATTTGTGGAGTAACTCCTTTGGTACTTATTAGAATACTTTGCTTCAAAAATTTTTTAAATTATAAATTTACAATAAATTATAAAATTATTCTTTAGATGCTACTATATTAATTTGCAAGTAACATTCAGCAGTGATGGCATCAATGATTGTATAACATGATATAATTTGATAATGCCAGGAAATGTTGCTGGACTTTCCTGGCATTCTTTGTTTTCATCTCTAATAATTGCTACAATTATCTTTGAGTCTTCAGATTTACACAAAACTACTAATATGAATGATTACTCATAAAATGGAGGTCATTTAACTATTTTTAAAATACAGTAGAGCGTCGATTATCTGAAAGAATTCCAATCGGCAAATTTAAATTTTTGCCAGTGCTGTGGCGCTGCAATCTTTGGCTATGTCTTGAGCTACTCAAATATTTTACGTTTTTGATACTAAATTAACATCTGAAGTATAATTTTTTATTGTTTTTATATTTTTCAATATATTTATTTTGTTCGTACAAAATAAAAAAATAATTTTTAACGATACAATAGTCTTCGTTAGGCTTAATTAAATTAATTAACATCGACGAAAATTCAACACAAAGTGACACACAACGGAGAAAAATTTTCAACATGGGATAGGTTAATATATTTTTTCATATGTAATCGGTTATCCGAAATATCGATTTTCCAAACAACCCCGGTCCCCAATTGATTCGGATAATCGACGCTCTACTGTAATAACCACCACCTCTTCAATATGTAATAATATTTTGGTGAAAATTTGATGAAAATTATGATTAATAACAAAAATATATATTTCAAAGAATTTCATATTAAAATAGTTCATATTTTTATCCCAGACCCAGATGGAAAATATCAGCTTCTTAAAACTATTTTATTGATATTAATATAAGTACATATTGAAAGAAGTTGGAACAATTGGTTTATTCTATCAAAAGTTATAAAAAGCATAAAAAGACATTAATATTGGAAGTAAGGGAAATTTTCAAAACAAATACATTTATTTTTTGGTAAATAAAAATTTATATAAGCAAAAAACATTTTGTAATTCCGGAGCTTTTTGAGATACGGTCCCCTTATCCCCCAAACCAATGATCCAATCAATTTTCCTGAAAATTTCTAGAAACATTTCCCCTGATACACAAACAACTCTGAAAAATTTCAGAAATTTTCAACAAAGGCACAGGAGTTATTAAGCTTCACAGTAGGTGAAAAAATCATGCTCCCCCACACACACAAACATCCAAACATACAGAAAAAATACTCAACCTTTTTTTTTTTGCATTTTTTGACATTTCAAGGACCTGAGTCCAAAATGTGAAGATCCATCTTGATGGGGATCATTTTTTGACCAATTGCTATACTTTCCCTCATTTTATAACCACCAAAAAAGTAAAAATAATTCAAGTTTGAATTTTAAACAGCACATTTTGATTAGTGAAATTAATATGTATTACACAATAATTTGTTAAATAATGTCAAATGTAACAAGAATTTCTGAAAAAAATTTTTTTATATACTTTAACATTCTATAAGACAGTAGATTAAAAATATATGAATTTTATTTGAGTTTTTATTTTTATGGATAATTAACAAAGATTAATGGTTTTAATTTTCAAGTAAATAATAATTTTGTCATTACTTTGTGTTAAATTTCTTTTTAAAACTCATTCAGAATTTTATGTCTTTGGCATTTTAAAAAGTTATAACTACAATTTTAGAATATAATAAAAATTACTTACAAATTTTTTGCTGCTCCAAATCCACCAGGAAATACTATAGCATCATGATCAGAAGCTTTCAATTCACTTAAAGCCTTGATTTTTCCCCTAGCAATTCTTGCTGATTCAACTAAAACATTCCTATTAAATTTTGTATCAATAAATTTAATAATCTTTAATAACATATTATTTAGAAATCAAAATGAATACAGTTTTTAGATTATTACTTTCAAAGAGAAGCAAATCAATATATCAGGTTGTGAAGGTGAAATTTAGACATTTTGATAAAATTTATTGCTAAATAACTCAACAACAGTTCAACCTGGTAGATAATCACCATCAATATTGATCACATATCACAACCTTTGCTGCAAACTTTCAATCTGATGGGGATTTCTTTGAAGAAAGTCTCAAATGTTGGATATTTTCACTGAACTGTATATTGGCAATATAGTTCTGCAGGGTACAAAATAGATGGTGTCAGTTGGCACCAAGTTTGGACTGCAGGATGGAAGAGGCAGAATCTCCTGGCTTTAAGGTCATCTTTGCTCTATGTGCTGGTGCTTTATTGCAGTGATATTGGACTTTGTCAATTTTTGGAGTGTATGGGATCATTCAAGTTGTGCTAATTTTCTGGTGGTCAACCATGGATTATCACCTACTAGGTGCTGGAGAATGTCATTATCAAGGTGGAATCACTATCTGGAAGGGGTTCATCCTGAAATGAGAAATCTGCATCCTTGAATTTCTTAAACCAATTGCAGCAGATCTGCCTGTTGGCTGTATTCTTGCCAAATGCCTTGCAGATGAGATCATGAGCCTTTATTGCATTGAGGCCAATTTTGAAGTGATAGAGCAACAGCATATGAATGTGTTCTTTTGAAAATTTCATATTGTCAGACATTGCTCATTTCCAATGAACTATGTGATGAAACACTCTGATTACTCTATTTACATAATCACATTATATGTTCTATAAAATTTTTCCAGTTGTTTCTAAAAAAATCAATATGTCTAAATTTCACCTTTACAATCTGATAGTTTTTTAATATCAAAGTACACAAAACATAGATATTGAGTTTTCAAAAGGAATTGCAAATTGTTGTTAACATGAAAATCATCTTAAATTACCAACTCACTATTCCATTACAATCTAAAAATTGTTGTCTATTTATTAGAAATATTTCAATAAATAACAATAAATCATAGGTAAAAATGAAACTCTTGCTGATATCAGTATTTTATTTAATCACTATCAATGAGTAGCTTATGATAAGTAATCTATCAATGAAGTGGAAAAAAAGAGTATAATTTGTCTCACTGCTACTTCAATTTTAAATAAAAAAACAAGATAAAAGTTTTCTTTGCAATTATAACTTTGAGATGTTTTTGACTGAATAAAATCAAAATTTCACTGAAAATCAAATTGTCAATCAGATGTTTTTGATTTTATTAGAAAGTCTGTAACCATAAAATACAAAACTACACAACTAAAATACAAAAACTATGCACTTTTTTAAATGTAGAATTATCATTTATAAAATTAACTCGATAACTGAACAGTATGATCAGAAAAAAACAAAATAATTAACATATATTTTGTATGTTTTCTGATTATAAGTTCAAATTTTATAATAATACTAGCTTTGCATTAATACGTGTGCCCAGCATTGCTTGGGTTTTTAATGGATGTGAAATTGAAAGAGGATGATAAAAATAATGGTCCTAGTAACTAAAATGTGCATTTATTTATAAAAGATCATTCTCATCCCATTGCATAACTTTAGTGGGTTCAAATTTGACAAAAGCATTACTGGTGCTCCAACCTATAGCTCAAGGTTATCAGATGTAATCCAGCTGATTCCAACGAGTTTAAAAATTCCACTGGGTACATTAATGCCTGATCTGTCTCAAAAATGGAATTGATGGACTCATATGTTGTATAAGTTCCTGGAAGTTGTGCCTGCATATGTAAATTCAGTTTGGCAATGCATTTGTTTTAGATACCAATATTGGTCTCTTCTATATCCATTTGTAGTTTATGTAGAGTTATCAAATTAGTATCCAGATCTTCAGTGAATTTTCCATCATTGAGATGCAAAAGTTATTTAGAAAATTCTCTGCAGATATGTCTCCCAATAGATGGATCCTCATATCCATTGAAAGGCACACCTTTTTAACATGATTATACAGTAATGATGCCTTTAGGCAGGCACAAAGTAGTCAGCAGGCAAACCAACAATCCAAAAACAATCAGCCTTTATTTATGATTTTTGCCAACAGATGATGCTACATCTAAAGGCAGAAAGTCAGATGTGGAAGAAATATACCACCCCAATATTTTGGAGTAGTATATAGCTTAGTATTGATTCTAGGATCTATGTAATACTCATACAAACTTTGGTCTAGATTGGTTTAAGAGTAAAGATTTGTATAAAGGGCAATCCAACAAGAATTGATTTTTATAAATATATATAGACAGTAGTTTAATTAAATAGTAACAAATTTGCATACAGATTTTTCATAGCACTTTTTCCAATGAACTACACCTTTTCAATTTAAAATTCAGAAAAAGTAAATTCTATTTCAGAAAAGACCAAGTGATTTTCACAAAAAGTTAACATCAATGTTGTCATTGCCAGCTCCAGCATTCTAAGCTGTGTTAGAATTTTTGAGAGTAACTGACATTAATTCATTAGCAAACTGAGGCTTAAGGCAAGTTTAAAACTTGAAAAATTAACTAGCATCTCTGGTCAAGCAACAACTGAAAGATAGCATTATAGATAAAGTTAAAAAGATGCTTGTTGATACGTAACAGAACTGTTGCCAACCAAGAGATGCCAACGAAAGTTCTGCTATATTCCAATGCAGTAGTATATAATTTTAATACTAATGTGAGGATCCGAATCCAGACTTTCAGTATATTTATATCATTTGTTCATAATATCACATCATAAATAGTTATATTTTCGTTAAATAACTGTCAACTTTTATACCTGGGAGCTAAACATCTGTTAAGTTCTCAGGCCTAATAACAACGCTTTCTCATCACCTTTTGACCTAATATCTCGATTTCAACATTACAACATTGGAACAGAACAACAAAGTGAGTCAGTCGTCGCCCTTCCCTCTTGGATTAAAGTCAGCAAAATTTTCCATGTGTCAGTGACAATTTCTGTGCTCAATCAGTACCCTATCGGATTTTTCCCATTACTTTCCATTGTGCCTAGAAGAACTTTCTTGATCCAGACCAAGCCAGCGATCAAAATCCTCACCCTCAAGATCCTAATCTCAACCCCAATCCANAATAGGAACAAGGGCTTATTATGATAATTTTTATTGTTGTAATTATTTTTTGGCCTAATTTTTGTTGAAAAATTCAATTTTTGTAAATATTACATATACTATATCTCGTGTAAAGTCTTTTGTCAAAATATTCCAATTTTTCTGCATTTATTTGCTTCCTAACAAATGAAGAAGTGCTAGAATCATTTTGCCAACTCCATCATAAATCTCGTGGAAATTCAGCGTATCATACATAAAGGCAGGAGTGGTGACCACCAAGTTATTCTTGTCGACAATGACACCGTAATGAAAAGTTAAAGCAACATAACAATTAAAATAATAATATTGAAAAGATAAATTATCATTATTAAAAGGATATATCAACATTGGTATTATGATGTATAGCACCCCATGATTTCACGGCTTCGACAGCTCCGCAATAGGGCCATTTTCCAGAACCGTCATCTAAAATTTAAATTGCATATTAATAATTAAATTGATTTTAGAAAATAAATCATATAAAAAAAAACAGAGATCTAAAAATCTCTTAACACAGTTTTAAGTTCTCTAAGATTGTTATAAAATACTATTTATTATGCATCATGGTTGAATGCATGGATAGTTAAGTGTATCTCAATGTAATTTTTGACTTTTTGTATTTTACTTGATATGAAAAATAATATCGCTATAATTGATATAATGAATGTTTCAGAATAAATAGTCATACTTTCCTTTTAGTTTAATGTTGTTTACTTTTTAAAGCTAGTAGATATATAAAGCCAGAAAGAAAAAAACTACAGGGAAGATTATGGAATTACCTTGCCATTTTTTTTTGTCAGTAAAGTACACAATATTTGATTATTAATAGATAGAACTAAGTGATAAACAAAATGGATTGAATTCATTGACTTGTTTTCTCCATTCCAGTGAATTTAGGATGTTTGTATGTAATGTATGGGATAACTCAGTCAACATTCACAAACAAGTTTTAGTGACTCATGGAACACTTTAAGAACAATAACATTCTAAACTTTAAACAGCTACGTTCATATTATTATTATAACAAAATAATAATTTTAAAAAAATTATCTCAAAAATTTGCAAGTTTTGCTCTTTTACTACACGGTAGGAAAATGAACTATATTATAGCAAGTTAATATAAATAAATTGGTTTTTGCCCTTGGTTTAATTAAATTACTGTAATTAAAAACCTACTAATGTGAGGTAGGAATAAGGACTTATCACACCAGTGATAATAAACACAAACACCCAGGTATCAATGGAATACATTTAATAAAATGAGAAGTGGTGTACATTAAAAACGATTAAATTAACAATTGACATGAAATAACCAAAATGAATTTTGGACTATTTCATGTCAATTGTTAATTTAATCGTTTTTAATGTTCTCATTTTATTAAATGTATTCCATTGATACCTGGGTGTTTGTGTTTATTATCACTGGTGTGATAAGTCCTCATTCCTACCTCACATTAGAAGGTTTTTAATTTATTTAATTATAGCAAGTTATTACATTTCAATTAAATTTGCAATATTAAAAAGCTAAAGTCTAAAGCTTAATTAATTTAAGTAATAAAATTATCATATTAATTTAAAAAATTAAAAATATTTTCATAATAGTTTTTTTAATAATATATCCTTTCTTAGTTTTTATTATTACAGTATTATTATTATTAATTTGGAAAATAATTTCATAAAATTACCTTTATCTTGCCCTAATGTGATCTCTACTTTTCCTAGAACTCTGGCTGCTAGAGTAGGAGCAATGCAGCAAAATCTTCAAGAGATAATGATAATTTTTAATATGGTATAAAAACATATGTGATAGTTATGAGAAAGAATTTTTTAAAATACTGACGCAAGTGGCTTCTTGGATGCATGAAATTCTTTTATAACACGAGCTACTTCTGGAATAACTTTACAATTTGCACCATCAACGGCAAAAGTTGATCTAGTTTCAAAAACTCAGATATTACTATAAAAATCATTGATGTTAAATAACATTTCATAATAAATTTTTAATTGTATTAATGTAATTACATAATTGTTCTGAATCTTAATGCAAAAATTTTTACTTATACAAAAGTATGCAGAAATTTTTCATTATAAAACACAATTAAAATAATTTTATATTTACGACTACATTTAAGAATCTTATGAAATGCATTTTTTCTTTTACATTTCTTAACACAATCTTGTAAACTGAAAACTATACTAATTTATATTGAAACTACAGTTAATTGAAATTTAATGTGGTAGGTATTGTATTTATCTAATGTTTTAGAATTATATCAAAATGACATTAACAATATTTTAACTCTGAAAATGTTAAACGTTTTAACATTCACTTTAAGATATTTCTAGAATTCATCATTTATGGCAGCAGAAAAATTGTTTTGAAAATTTATCAAATAATAATTTAATTTTTCATTATTTTCATAATTGACCAACTTTTAATAACTACCATTAAAACTTTTAAACAATTAATTGGAAATGTTAATAAAAAAAATTATTATTCAAAGAGATATTATAATTTTTGTTGAAAAATTCAATTTTTGTAAATATTACATATACTATATCTCGTGTAAAGTCTTTTGTCAAAATATTCCAATTTTTCTGCATTTATTTGCTTCCTAACAAATGAAGAAGTGCTAGAATCATTTTGCCAACTCCATCATAAATCTCGTGGAAATTCGGCGTATCATACATAAAGGCAGGAGTGGTGACCACCAAGTTATTCTTGTCGACAATGACACCGTAATGAAAAGTTAAAGCAACATAACAATTAAAATAATAATATTGAAAAGATAAATTATCATTATTAAAAGGATATATCAACATTGGTATTATGATGTATAGCACCCCATGATTTCACGGCTTCGACAGCTCCGCAATAGGGCCATTTTCCAGAACCGTCATCTAAAATTTAAATTGCATATTAATAATTAAATTGATTTTAGAAAATAAATCATATAAAAAAAAACAGAGATCTAAAAATCTCTTAACACAGTTTTAAGTTCTCTAAGATTGTTATAAAATACTATTTATTATGCATCATGGTTGAATGCATGGATAGTTAAGTGTATCTCAATGTAATTTTTGACTTTTTGTATTTTACTTGATATGAAAAATAATATCGCTATAATTGATATAATGAATGTTTCAGAATAAATAGTCATACTTTCCTTTTAGTTTAATGTTGTTTACTTTTTAAAGCTAGTAGATATATAAAGCCAGAAAGAAAAAAACTACAGGGAAGATTATGGAATTACCTTGCCATTTTTTTTTGTCAGTAAAGTACACAATATTTGATTATTAATAGATAGAACTAAGTGATAAACAAAATGGATTGAATTCATTGACTTGTTTTCTCCATTCCAGTGAATTTAGGATGTTTGTATGTAATGTATGGGATAACTCAGTCAACATTCACAAACAAGTTTTAGTGACTCATGGAACACTTTAAGAACAATAACATTCTAAACTTTAAACAGCTACGTTCATATTATTATTATAACAAAATAATAATTTTAAAAAAATTATCTCAAAAATTTGCAAGTTTTGCTCTTTTACTACACGGTAGGAAAATGAACTATATTATAGCAAGTTAATATAAATAAATTGGTTTTTGCCCTTGGTTTAATTAAATTACTGTAATTAAAAACCTACTAATGTGAGGTAGGAATAAGGACTTATCACACCAGTGATAATAAACACAAACACCCAGGTATCAATGGAATACATTTAATAAAATGAGAAGTGGTGTACATTAAAAACGATTAAATTAACAATTGACATGAAATAACCAAAATGAATTTTGGACTATTTCATGTCAATTGTTAATTTAATCGTTTTTAATGTTCTCATTTTATTAAATGTATTCCATTGATACCTGGGTGTTTGTGTTTATTATCACTGGTGTGATAAGTCCTCATTCCTACCTCACATTAGAAGGTTTTTAATTACAGTAATTTAATTAAACCAAGGGCAAAAACCAATTTATTTATATTAACTTGCTATAATATAGTTCATTTTCCTACCGTGTAGTAAAAGAGCAAAACTTGCAAATTTTTGAGATAATTTTTTTAAAATTATTATTTTGTTATAATAATAATATGAACGTAGCTGTTTAAAGTTTAGAATGTTATTGTTCTTAAAGTGTTCCATGAGTCACTAAAACTTGTTTGTGAATGTTGACTGAGTTATCCCATACATTACATACAAACATCCTAAATTCACTGGAATGGAGAAAACAAGTCAATGAATTCAATCCATTTTGTTTATCACTTAGTTCTATCTATTAATAATCAAATATTGTGTACTTTACTGACAAAAAAAAATGGCAAGGTAATTCCATAATCTTCCCTGTAGTTTTTTTCTTTCTGGCTTTATATATCTACTAGCTTTAAAAAGTAAACAACATTAAACTAAAAGGAAAGTATGACTATTTATTCTGAAACATTCATTATATCAATTATAGCGATATTATTTTTCATATCAAGTAAAATACAAAAAGTCAAAAATTACATTGAGATACACTTAACTATCCATGCATTCAACCATGATGCATAATAAATAGTATTTTATAACAATCTTAGAGAACTTAAAACTGTGTTAAGAGATTTTTAGATCTCTGTTTTTTTTTATATGATTTATTTTCTAAAATCAATTTAATTATTAATATGCAATTTAAATTTTAGATGACGGTTCTGGAAAATGGCCCTATTGCGGAGCTGTCGAAGCCGTGAAATCATGGGGTGCTATACATCATAATACCAATGTTGATATATCCTTTTAATAATGATAATTTATCTTTTCAATATTATTATTTTAATTGTTATGTTGCTTTAACTTTTCATTACGGTGTCATTGTCGACAAGAATAACTTGGTGGTCACCACTCCTGCCTTTATGTATGATACGCCGAATTTCCACGAGATTTATGATGGAGTTGGCAAAATGATTCTAGCACTTCTTCATTTGTTAGGAAGCAAATAAATGCAGAAAAATTGGAATATTTTGACAAAAGACTTTACACGAGATATAGTATATGTAATATTTACAAAAATTGAATTTTTCAACAAAAATTAGGCCAAAAAATAATTACAACAATAAAAATTATCATAATAAGCCCTTGTTCCTATTTTAAAAGTCTTTTGTTATGGGTAAGTTAATTTCTTAATGATATATTTAATAAGAATGTGTTTCAAAGCATCCTTTTTTTTTGTCACAGTATATGATGATTTATGATTGAAAATTTCATCTCTCTTTTATGAAGGTTTGCAAACCTCAATTATGTTTTCTGTGGTGTTCATTTGTATGAAATTACTTGAAACAGTTTTTGATTATTAAAAGTTATTTTTGCTTATTCAGTTTTAATTATAGATGAATTTTCAATTATTGGATAACTGATATATCAATTATTTTTGTAATCATTTCTTGGAATTAATAAGCAAACAAATTAGTATGTATTTAAATTCAATTATTGATGAATTAATAGTAATATTTATCATAATATAAATATATTGTGTATGCTTTTAAGAATATTTTTTTTAAACATTTTAAAAGACATTTCTAAACATTGAAGGACTATGGAAAACTTCTTTAAAGATTTATTGTGTTTCTATCAATTAAAAAATTATAAAGTTTTCATTCCTTTGATACTTGCTATTGAAAAATATAATAATCTACTTTATTCTATTTTTATGTTATATATATATATATATATTATTAAGAACTACTGTGTTCTGTTAATAGGAGAAAAAACAAACAGTTCTAGTTATGCTCACTTCCTGTTTAGTATCTTCTATCATTGCTGTTTTGCAATGTTTGATCTCTAAACAATTAACCGTAGCCCATTGGAAAGTTTTTATTCTAACTTAGAAGTAATTTTTTTACCTTTATCCTAGTCTATAGAGTTCTTTGTACTGTTGAAGAACCTATAGAAATTACTGTATTCGCATACAATAAACACATCGGTTACAACAGGCTGCAAGTGTGTTTGACTCATTTCAGTAGCAATAGTTAAAGGTGTTGCCTCAAAGTTGATTAAGACCTTTAAATGTGAAAGCAGCTTGAATGCACTCATCATTTTATAAGGAGGGAAACAGCAAAAGGAACCTACTTACCTATTATAATGAAGTCCTTGTCCTCCTAGTGTCAACTGTGTATTTTTGAGTATTTGCTTAATTTTTTGGAAGATTTAAATCTTTGTATAAATTAGCACAGCACTACAGGATTCTTTGGCATATCATGAAAGGCTAAACATTGATTTCTATTGGAGATAGCAGAGCATTGAGGAAATAAATCATACAAACACTATGAAAACTCCAGAAAAATTTTAATCAAAAATATTTTCAAACCAGTTTAATGGTTCAGCTTCAGTTGCTTACTACTATGTTTGAATAAAGGACTGAATTCTTAAGATATTTGTATGATTTGTTTTGTATAACTTTCCAATTATGTGTGGTTATTGATTGAGAGCATTGAGATATAAATATACCATCCAATTGTTGTGTATTATCTTTTTTGTATAGTATAGGCAGATGTACTATCAAAAAGTATATTAAATGTGTTGTGTCTTTGGATTTCTAAGTTTAAGCAACAGTTCTCACACAGCTTAATAAAATATAAAATCATGTCCAAGTTAACACTATTTTAATTTACTATTAAAATTATTAAGTAATGTATTAACTCATGTTTCTAATTTCATATATTGTTTTACTGAATATTAAATAAGCATGATATAAAGCAATTTGTTATAGCTGATGTGTTTATTGTAAATGGTTACAGCAACTTGTACAGGTTCTTTCACAGTACATAGAACTCTATAGAGTAGGCTAAAAGTAAAGTTAGAAAAATTATTTCCCAACAAGCTGTAGGTACAGTACTTGTTTAGAGATCATACACACCATAAAATGTGATGAAATAGCAATGATAGAATAGAAGAAAACAGGAATTCAAGCATACCTAGAACACAACCTAGCAATGAAATCTGCAACTGTTTCTTTTTCTTCCTATTAATTTACACAAGACCAAAACATTATCATTTTACAAATTCAGATACAATAACTCTTGTATGTGACAGAGTAATGAGTCAAAACTTTTCAGCTGTTCATTTAAAATATAGCACTTTTTAAATAATGTATTTTACATGCACGTAAAATACATTTATTTGCCAATTATAATGAACTGGAAGAACTTTAGAGCTGAAAACTATTAATATATTGATCATGCGTTAAAGCATAACATCACTCTACAGTTGCTTTTTAATCAGCATCAAACAGTTTTGAATATAAAATGCACTTCTCTGATTTGACAATATGCAAATATAGGCCACAGGTTTCCATTTCTATTCAATTTCAGTTTTGAATATTTGTCCCTGCAAAAGAAAGATTTATACAAGATAAACAATTTTTTCCCTTAACCTCTTCTATTTATATCTAGAAAGCTAATTTAAAACTTTTTGCATATATTAAGTGAATTGTTAAAAGAAGTCAGTTTTCCTTCAAGCTGCAATATTATTATTATCTAAAAATTGCTTTTTGTTGTGTTACAAGACTTTATTTTATCTAGTATTGTTGTTTTATTATTTGCAATATTTTGAAACATATTTCATTAAATTATGTTTTCAGAATACTACTTTTAGCATTAAGTTCATCATTATGTAATAGATCTGTAAATATTTTAAATTCTTTTTTAAAATCAATAGACGCTTATTTCAAAGTATGTTATATAACAGTTGAAAAACTGTAGATTTATTTTCTCAAATTCCATTTTTAGAGAAATACAACCTGTTTGTTACAGGTAACAGTTTTTTTTTTTCTATTCAAAAAACTAAAAGTTGTTTTATCAGATTAGATTTACCAGAAATAGTATATTAATATTGTTATAACACATAAAATGCAATAAAATTTAATTTTTATCTGTATTTTCATCCTAAGATAATATGAAAGGAAACTAGTTACAGAAACAGTGTAAATCCAGTACAAATACAGGTATGTGGTATTGTGCTGCTTATTCATTCATCCTTGTATTTTGTTATATTTTTGGAAACTTTTAAACCAATGTATGACAACTGGAAGAACTTTGAGACAATTTTGTAAGCCAACAAATAACAGATGCCTTGCAGTTAAGTGCAATACANTAACTCAACAACAGTTCAACCTGGTAGATAATCACCATCAATATTGATCACATATCACAACCTTTGCTGCAAACTTTCAATCTGATGGGGATTTCTTTGAAGAAAGTCTCAAATGTTGGATATTTTCACTGAACTGTATATTGGCAATATAGTTCTGCAGGGTACAAAATAGATGGTGTCAGTTGGCACCAAGTTTGGACTGCAGGATGGAAGAGGCAGAATCTCCTGGCTTTAAGGTCATCTTTGCTCTATGTGCTGGTGCTTTATTGCAGTGATATTGGAATTTGTCAATTTTTGGAGTGTATGGGATCATTCAAGTTGTGCTAATTTTCTGGTGGTCAACCATGGATTATCACCTACTAGGTGATGGAGAATGTCATTATCAAGATGGAATCACTATCTGGAAGGGGTTCATCCTGAAATGAGAAATCTGCATCCTTGAATTTCTTAAACCAATTGCAGCAGATCTGCCTGTTGGCTGTATTCTTGCCAAATGCCTTGCAGATGAGATCATGAGCCTTTATTGCATTGAGGCCAATTTTGAAGTGATAGAGCAACAGCATATGAATGTGTTCTTTTGAAAATTTCATATTGTCAGACATTGCTCATTTCCAATGAACTATGTGATGAAACACTCTGATTACTCTATTTACATAATCACATTATATGTTCTATAAAATTTTTCCAGTTGTTTCTAAAAAAATCAATATGTCTAAATTTCACCTTTACAATCTGATAGTTTTTTAATATCAAAGTACACAAAACATAGATATTGAGTTTTCAAAAGGAATTGCAAATTGTTGTTAACATGAAAATCATCTTAAATTACCAACTCACTATTCCATTACAATCTAAAAATTGTTGTCTATTTATTAGAAATATTTCAATAAATAACAATAAATCATAGGTAAAAATGAAACTCTTGCTGATATCAGTATTTTATTTAATCACTATCAATGAGTAGCTTATGATAAGTAATCTATCAATGAAGTGGAAAAAAAGAGTATAATTTGTCTCACTGCTACTTCAATTTTAAATAAAAAAACAAGATAAAAGTTTTCTTTGCAATTATAACTTTGAGATGTTTTTGACTGAATAAAATCAAAATTTCACTGAAAATCAAATTGTCAATCAGATGTTTTTGATTTTATTAGAAAGTCTGTAACCATAAAATACAAAACTACACAACTAAAATACAAAAACTATGCACTTTTTTAAATGTAGAATTATCATTTATAAAATTAACTCGATAACTGAACAGTATGATCAGAAAAAAACAAAATAATTAACATATATTTTGTATGTTTTCTGATTATAAGTTCAAATTTTATAATAATACTAGCTTTGCATTAATACGTGTGCCCAGCATTGCTTGGGTTTTTAATGGATGTGAAATTGAAAGAGGATGATAAAAATAATGGTCCTAGTAACTAAAATGTGCATTTATTTATAAAAGATCATTCTCATCCCATTGCATAACTTTAGTGGGTTCAAATTTGACAAAAGCATTACTGGTGCTCCAACCTATAGCTCAAGGTTATCAGATGTAATCCAGCTGATTCCAACGAGTTTAAAAATTCCACTGGGTACATTAATGCCTGATCTGTCTCAAAAATGGAATTGATGGACTCATATGTTGTATAAGTTCCTGGAAGTTGTTCCTGCATATGTAAATTCAGTTTGGCAATGCATTTGTTTTAGATACCAATATTGGTCTCTTCTATATCCATTTGTAGTTTATGTAGAGTTATCAAATTAGTATCCAGATCTTCAGTGAATTTTCCATCATTGAGATGCAAAAGTTATTTAGAAAATTCTCTGCAGATATGTCTCCCAATAGATGGATCCTCATATCCATTGAAAGGCACACCTTTTTAACATGATTATACAGTAATGATGCCTTTAGGCAGGCACAAAGTAGTCAGCAGGCAAACCAACAATCCAAAAACAATCAGCCTTTATTTATGATTTTTGCCAACAGATGATGCTACATCTAAAGGCAGAAAGTCAGATGTGGAAGAAATATACCACCCCAATATTTTGGAGTAGTATATAGCTTAGTATTGATTCTAGGATCTATGTAATACTCATACAAACTTTGGTCTAGATTGGTTTAAGAGTAAAGATTTGTATAAAGGGCAATCCAACAAGAATTGATTTTTATAAATATATATAGACAGTAGTTTAATTAAATAGTAACAAATTTGCATACAGATTTTTCATAGCACTTTTTCCAATGAACTACACCTTTTCAATTTAAAATTCAGAAAAAGTAAATTCTATTTCAGAAAAGACCAAGTGATTTTCACAAAAAGTTAACATCAATGTTGTCATTGCCAGCTCCAGCATTCTAAGCTGTGTTAGAATTTTTGAGAGTAACTGACATTAATTCATTAGCAAACTGAGGCTTAAGGCAAGTTTAAAACTTGAAAAATTAACTAGCATCTCTGGTCAAGCAACAACTGAAAGATAGCATTATAGATAAAGTTAAAAAGATGCTTGTTGATACGTAACAGAACTGTTGCCAACCAAGAGATGCCAACGAAAGTTCTGCTATATTCCAATGCAGTAGTATATAATTTTAATACTAATGTGAGGATCCGAATCCAGACTTTCAGTATATTTATATCATTTGTTCATAATATCACATCATAAATAGTTATATTTTCGTTAAATAACTGTCAACTTTTATACCTGGGAGCTAAACATCTGTTAAGTTCTCAGGCCTAATAACAACGCTTTCTCATCACCTTTTGACCTAATATCTCGATTTCAACATTACAACATTGGAACAGAACAACAAAGTGAGTCAGTCGTCGCCCTTCCCTCTTGGATTAAAGTCAGCAAAATTTTCCATGTGTCAGTGACAATTTCTGTGCTCAATCAGTACCCTATCGGATTTTTCCCATTACTTTCCATTGTGCCTAGAAGAACTTTCTTGATCCAGACCAAGCCAGCGATCAAAATCCTCACCCTCAAGATCCTAATCTCAATCTCAATCAAGATATCATAAAAGATATTTATCGGCATGCGAAACTTCTGTAAACTCTCTCTCGCAGGAATCGGAAAAACCGTAATATCAAATATATCTAATATCTATCAAATCGTAGAAATGTATCAAAAAGCTAGCATATTTAAAATTGAAATATTGTATGGCCTCTCGTTACCCATTAAACAGTTGTTACATTAACCCATCTTTGAGTAAGTCACTTCCGGTGCGTTGTCTCTCCCTCCTTCCCAAATCTGATCGTTCTGTTACGCAACTGCTCGTGTGACCTATTTAACGCGGTTTCCGTGGTTATCCTGACAGGGCATCGAAGAGGTGCCGACCCTTCGGTCACAGTAAATGAACTAAGATCTAATAAATTACACACATTACAATTATCAAAAAACTTATTCTGCATTAAATTTAAAGTCAAACCTGTGATTATCAGTCACTTATTCATGATTGACATGAAGTGTACGAGGCAAATTGCATTTCATAGAAACACGTTTTTATTAAAATGTTGAGACACCTAACACAGAACTAAATGACAATACTGTCACATTTGGGAGCTAAGAAGATTTTTTGTTGGTCCACTAAGGTCCTACAAACCAAATATGCAGTAGATACAAGAAAAAAAAAATTATTTACATGTGATATGTCAATAACAAGAACAATAAAGGAAGCCAACTCTAGGACAATTACTGTGACAGTACCTGATAGTCAATTGCAGGTGGAACAATTACCAAATTTTATATACAACCACAACACACCTATATATATATATATAATAGTAAACGAGTTCTCTTTCTTAA